TCCACCTGGCCATGCCGGGCCCATATGTGTGTGTATATATATATATCTTCATATTTTTTATAATTACGTCCTTCAATTTTTTCCATTTCTTTGCTTTTTGTTGTCAAACACAAGGCTGCACGATTGGTTATCTATGCTGTGCCCACTGTGAGTATCGAAACCCGAATTTTAGCGTCATAAGCTCTCAGATCTGCCGCTGAGCCACCAGAGGCTTGTTCGATTTACACTTGAAAATTTAAGAATTTTGAAAAGTGGTCAATATTAGGAGAAACGCAAAAAAGTTTGCATTCTATAGAAAGTAGAAAACAGTTTCTAATCAAAAAATAACGACATGACGGATATACAAAAAAATACAAAAACAAAAAACAAGGTTTTAACTGTGGTGTTTTTCTAAAGTTTAAACGAATGGATCCTTACAAATTCGCTCGTTTGGTTCGGATAAGGAAAACTGCGTGGCTAAAGAACCAGGTGGCTCTGAACTGTATCATTTGATTTTCTTATTCTTGATTCAGTTCACTAAAGTCAACTGACACTAAGAGGTAATATTAAGGTATAAACACGTATTGTCACACGTATTTCTACACTTAATTTCTTTTTCGGGTTATCTGAAGTAGCTGTTTTGTTTCTATAGTTTTATCAAGTACTTTTATTACAGACTGTTAAACAAGAGAAGTAATATTTTGACTTCTTGGCACATAGGACAACAGAAAGCATTATTTCTATAGCATTCCACCACCACGTGTAAAGTGGAGTTCAAGTGTTCGATGGGTTCGCGCGTTAGTCTATCGCAATAAGCAAACAGTGAAGTCATTATGTCGGACACAATATTCATGTTCACTGCTATCTGAAATCTTGCTTGGTGTAAAGTTTTAACGTTTGAGTACAGTATTGTTAAGTTATAGTAACAGTTCAACCTGCTAGCTAGAATATATAATAAGTAATAGTAGTTTCAAGTGCTGTGTACAATGATCGAATACATGTATTTTACTCAATAATAATAACAAAATTGAATTGTTTTCAAAGCACCTTATAATAGCTTGAACTAAACAGTTAAATAGCTACTGAAGATAGTTTGAGACTTATAGAATGTCAAGACTGTATCCGTAGAATCTTTAGTCAGGCGAAATCCAAACACACACACACGTAGAGTATTATTTCTTTGGCACTTGTATATAATGTTAAAATAATAAATAACACACAACGTTAATTGTGTATCTATATTAACGTTGTGTGTTATTTATAATTTGAAAACGTATAGTAGTACATTAACATTCATTAAATTCGCGTAGAGTAATACATTATCATTAATTAATCGAATAGAGTAATGCATTATCGTTAATAAATCACTTTTCACTAATCCGTGGTTGTACAAACATCTTCCACAGTCACACATTCTTAACCCATTAAATAATCCATCAAAACGTATTGGAAAACTTAATATTTAATAAAACACACGTTTAAAGTATTACTGTAACATTTGTCTTCGTTTGGTGGTCTATTTTAGATTATCTGGTAAAAATAAGTGAAACCTACTCCATGTAACAACAACAAACTGGTATATTTCTTCTTTTAAGCTAATGTTTAATAATTAGCCGCGGCGTAGCAGTTCATAGAATGGCTCCGAGTTTGTTTTGTTGTCTCTGGTCGTTTGTTAATTTCCAGTTTTATTTCTTCCCGAGGAACTTCGGTGATACAAGTCCTTTCCTAAATAAAACTAGTTTATTCTTCCTCAATACAACTTTGCAATACACAGAATTTCCACACTCATTTTAACTTAAACACACGCTATAATTCACAATGATTTACACACTTTACTTACGGCTTGACTCGATTATTTGTTTCTATCTTCAAGTTCCGATTAATTATCTCGCTTTATCTGGCACGCTTATATACAAGAA